AGGTCTGTCGGGTCCATCCTGCAGCTCTCCTAGTGCTTTTTGACAGCAGTCCCTGCCTGCCCCCACCAGGTACCAAAAGGAGCCTGTCCTTCCCAGGGCTCCAGGGTGCTGAGAATCTCCTCTCAGATGCCTACCATCTTGAGCTCTCCATCGGATGCTAGGTCAGGAAGAGGAATGAAAAAGGAGGATACTTAGGTTTTAGGAAACAGAATACCTCATTCACACAGCAGTGACCCAAATTACAGATGATATTACTTTGTCACGGGTGTGATTAATGTTTCTACTTAAGACTAACAGTGAGTGGTAACCTGCTGAGCACATACCCAAGGTGACTGATCCTATTCACTGACCTCTGCATAGGAAGCAAGAGAATGCTTCATATCCAGACTAAGTTAGCCACAAGCACTGAAACAGTAACAAACCTGTAAAAGGCAATCAGCATTACTCTTTTCAAAGACAGAATATACAAGATCTGACAAAGTTAACAGAAGTGCTATCTGAATGATTTGGAATTTACTATGCTGGAAAGAAGAAAAAGGCAAGAGGATGTCATGACATCCCTCCCTTCTGTTTTTATTATCAGTCACTGGTAGAAACTTGGCACGCTATTTCTGAAGCAACTATGACAAACCCTTTTTTTTTTTTTTTTTTTTGGTGAAGGAATATAAAAATGCTTTTACCTCAGTGTTGCTTAAAGTTTTGGTTATGATTCAAGCATCTCAAAATATTGAGAATAATTGCAACATTGTGTGCTGCCAGCATTTGCATTACAAAACGCTGTGTTTTTCTCACACTTTATTTGAAAAAAGAACATTTTGCACCTCAACAGATAGTTGTGGGTTTGAATCATAAAGCACTAAGGGTTTTGATCTGTTCTGAGTCCTACCCTGTGTGTGTCATTTTTCTCATGGCTTAGAACAAAATATTAATGTGACTCATCTGTCATAAGTAATTATCGTATCCTCTATTTTGGTGTGTGACTAAAAGAAAGCTGTAATTATGTAAAAGTATTTTTGTATTTTGTATAAGGGAGGATGGGAATCATAGGTGTTTTAAACCAAAAAAAAGACCGTCAGGAGAAAAGAGTGAATTATAAATGAAAGCAACTTATATATATTTCAGTTAAATGTAATAAATACTTTAAAACATGCTATTTCAACTTGCTATTTCTTAGATTTAAATATCACAGCTTTCATCCCTGGAACATTGGAAAATGAAATAATAAATGGGGGGGAAGAGTAGAGCTTATGGACAGGCTAGTCCAAAGTCCCAAATTTGATACTGAAACGTTTACAAGGACATTAATTATGCTTGGAAAGCTGGTACTTGAAACTGCAAATGTCAGTTCCAGGATGTCAAGTGTTTTCTGGTACAGTTTAGGAAATTCAAAAGATGTAATTATGTGTACACATTCCTGTGACTTTTCTTCAGACCAGCATTCTATTCCACAGTAGTTCTCTCTCACAAAAATTTTAAAAATTCACTAGGAAACAGCACAAACAATGAGTACAGCAATGATTCTCTACAGAGGCATTTGCAGCAATTGACCGGATTCCTCTTTTCTCCCTCAAACAACAGATTGAAATATTTAACTAAGTAGATCCAGTTCAATGCAGACCTCATTCCACAAAAGTCATTTGCATTTGGACTGAATATTGAATCAGCCGGACTTAAGTATATGCTTAAAATAGAAGTTATATTTATGCGACTACTTAAATTAACCAGGGCTCATGCTGTTTCTGTGTTAAGAGAGAGAATACAGTGATTTTCTGCCTTTCTGCTTTTGCCTTTCTGCACTTGAATTGCAAAGACAAAATGTTGTTTTCCATACCCAGGCAGCAGAGTGGGAGGAAGAGGAGGGCACATGCCACCTTAATGTATTTGAAGATTTACCACACAGAAAACTTAATTCTCCCCTCTTCTTTCAGCTACAGCTTTGCACTAAGTAATTTTAAATGCAGAACAATGAAATGAAACTCTACCAATCAGGAAATCTAATGCTTAAGTTTCCTCTTGGGAATGGTTTCTCTCATTCTCCTCTCTCCTTCAG